AATCCGGCGAGAGCCGCCGACTTTATGTCCTCTCCGGCCGCTAGGGCCGTTAGGAGGTCTGTGAGGAGCCCTATTATTAATGTTAGGGCTCCATTATCTGTTACTATGGGTAATTCGCGCGTCTGTTGTAGTGAACGTAGTGGCTGGGAGGCCGTCTGGGCCGACCGCCACGGCGGTTTACTCGAATAGCGTGGGGCGGCGCTCAAAGACGGCCACGCCCCCTGTCGCTCGTTCACTATGTTTTGCGCCATCTGGCGGCGAGCGGACGAAACCGGTACAGACGCGACTGTCGGTAATGCAGTCCCTCGCCGCGCAGATGTTTGGAACGGTTGAGTTGGGGGGGGAATGAGTCCCCGTTGCTCGTACGCGGCGCGGCCGCGGGTTTGCGTCGGCGGGGCGACCCCCTCGAACGGCGTCGATGTAACCGCGTTTTGCTCGCGGTTACGACGCCTCCTGCCGGCCCTGTTGCGCCTTTTGCGCTTGGGCGCCTCACCACGATTAGTGGGTGGGTTTGCCGGGGCCATGAGTGTGCCCCGGGACGACATCGTCGGTGGGACGACTGTCACCGGCACCGGTGCCAGCGGTCGGAAAGTTCGCTGCGGCACCGGTGCGCGTGTGGGAAGTTGCGCCTGAGTCGGCGCCGACTGTGCGGGCGCTCTTGCGCGTCTGTTGGCGCCGGGGGCGCGCGTCGGAGCAGCGGGGGCGGCAGGGCGGGTTTGGATCCCCCTGCGGCGCGCCTCTCTCTTGTAAACCGCACACCGTCTATCGTTGGCGGTGTGCGGCTTGGCGCAGTTTGCACAGGTAGGCTTTTGGTCGCGCGGCCGGTCGCAATCAGCGGCCGCGTGTTCACCGGCGCATCGGACACATTTGATGAGCCGGTGACAATTGGCCGACGAATGGCCGAATCCCTGGCACCTGTTACATTGTGCCAGGGAGGAAGTTGAGGGCCGCCAGCCCTCGATTGTGACGCCACGCATGAATAAGAGTTCATGCGTGGCATAAAGACGATCCAGCTCGTCCTTGCTCAAGGGATCGAGCTGGGCGTGGAATACGCAGCCTGGGCGGCCGCGGCGGGCCGGTATACCCCGCACTAGGCGGACGGGGTACCCAATTTTTTCGAGGGCGTCCGCTACCGCGTCCGAAGTGGTGTCGGACGGGAGACCTCTTATTGCCACCTTTGTGGGGAACTCGGAGGCCAGGCTGTAGCAATACCAGCTGATTGCTGGGTCAGCTGCGCCGGCCTCGGTTAGGTATTTTTGTACAAGACGGAACTCCTTGTCCGTCTTGCACAGGAATCTGACGCCCTTGCCGTAGGGGCGGGCGTTGGGCGGTTCACCCAGTGCGCGGGTGAGTGCGGCGAAGTGGTCTGTCCACCGCGGCAGACATTCCACGATAATGGGCGGGTATTTGCCCTGCCCAGGCTGCTTAGGGTCGATTGCCTCCTTTGTGGTAGCGGGAGGCGTCGGTGGGCGCGGTGCGGGAGCGGCCGCGGCCGCGTCCGCGAATGATTTCGTGGGGGACAATGTCCCCACGGAGCGGACCTGTACGTCGACACTCTCCAGTGCGACGTACGAGGTCTCGTCATCCTTATTGGGATGACCCAGGGCGCCTAAGGCGTCGAAATCCATAACTCGCTCGTCCTCGCTGTCGACAGAGGGGGCAGGCGAGGGCGAGCGGGGGGGTGTGGCGCGCCGTGTATGCGGGCGCGCCTCGCACGGCGCGTTCACCGAGCGAGACGGTCGGTCGGTGTAGCGCGGTGTGGGAACGAGACGGGGCGACGGCGGTGAGTCGCCTGCGTCTAGCCGCTTCTCTGACGGAGTTCCCGAGAGAGCGGGCGATGGTGGTGTGCGGCGTTTGGCGGCCGTAGACGGCGTGGCGCCAGATAGGTCGCCGCTCGGCTCGGCGCGTTCCCCTTCCGCAGCGATTACGTTGCGGTTGGCGAGTGCTAACCTTGCCTCACGGCGGGTGTGAAACGGTCCCAGATCTGTCTCTGGGACCGGTCGGCTACTGCCTGCCTGCCTCGGCACGGCTTCCCGCTGTGGCAGTGGCGCCGGCGCCCTAGGCGCCGACGCGGTAGGAGTGCGGGTCGGCCGTTTGGCCGACTCAAAAGGTTTGCGGGGGGGTTTCCCCTCGCGCTGAGACATTGTTGAAGATGGTGATGTTGTAGTCCCTACGGTCCCTAACGTAGTAGCCCACGAAGGGCGAAGGGGTCGCTGGACCAACACCGCCCAAGTGGGGACTCAGGCGGTGCCCTCAGTCTCGCCGTGGGTGCACTTGTTCTCCCTGTGAGACGACACCCTACGGTTTGTAAGAGGAGGGTGTGGGGGTTGGAACCCCACGAACGAACCTTACTGCTGGAGAAGGGGGGGGGGAGTCGACACGGCCGGGAAGACCGTGCTCTCGACCGTTACCGTGAGTGCACTTGTCCTCCCCGTGAGGCGACACTCTCCGGAACGGCCGAGAGGGGTGCGGGGGGACAGAACCCCGCGACGACCTACGGTCCCTAAACCCTACGACTCGACCGTGCCCTGGCGTGTAGCACACAGGTGCCTACACTGGTGCACCCAGGTGCACGGACTATCTCCCCGTCGGCTTGTAGCCCTCAAAAGGGCTGACGGCCTCGAGTTCGTCCTGAAAAGGACGTCCTACTCGGCGGCGGCACGAAGACACGAAGCTCGCGGGCACGTGTAGGAGGAATCCGACTGTACACTCTTACGATTGCACAGTTGATTCCTCGGCGGTGAGCTGTAGCGGCGGCTGTGGCGTCCCACGGCGCTCGGCGGCAGCTCTGGAGGGCTCTCGAAGGCGCAGGAGTCACGACGTGCTGGGGAAGACGCTACTCGGAGTCTCGACGGTCGCCCGGAGTACTCACGAGAAGGATCACGCACGAACACGACGGTCTCACTGCAGGCGCGGGAGCTCTCTCATGCCCATGCCGCACAACTTTTTTTTTTTTTTTTTCGTACTGTTTTTGCTGTTGGCCGCAGATGGCCTTTACAGCTTCACCGAGCGCGTGTGCAGGGGCGAGTGCTGAAGGCACTCCAAGCCCGCGAGAGGGGAGCGACGTGAGGCGTCAGCTCTTTCAGATGGACTGCGGTGTTTGCGCCCGAGGGCGCCCTAGTGGCTCGAACCTCGACTCAGGCCACCGCACTTCGACCCCCGTCAGGGCAGGGGTCGGTAGATCGAGGGGGGGGTCGCCGCCGTCGACGTTGGCGGACGAGACATACGAACGGCGCACGGACAGACGTCTGCCCGGTCGATGACGCGAACCGGGTGTGCTGGGTCTTCGTCCCCGCCGGCGGGGACGGTGTGTGCGATGTGTTGGCATGTGTGAGCTCGCGGAGAGACTGGAAGAAGGTTCCGCGGAAGAGGTCCCGCTGGTGTCGTTCACCGCCGTTATGGGGTCGTCGGGGTCGATGAGTGCGTGCCTCGGGCGTCGCCGTCGGCGTTTATCGTTCTCCTTAGGGGTGTACGCACACGCTTTAGCGATGAGCGGGTTTGGGTGGGTTTCAGCGGTGCTGAAGTAGCGTCGAGACGCTTCCTTCATAAATTTGCGAATGGACTGGATTTTTAGATCACGATGAAGATCTACGTTGCGTACGTACCACGGGGCCCCCGTGGCTCGCCGCAGGAACTTGTTCTGCACCACCTGAAGGGTGTGCAGGTACGAGGGAGGGGCGTGCGCAAACACGACGCTTGCGTACGTCATGACTGGCCGTATGCAGGCCTTGTAAAGTCGCAGCTTCGCATTTAGCGATAGCTTGCTATTTACATTGAGAAAGGGGTGGAGGCGTCCCAGTATGAAACTGGCCTTGCCTCGGACTGTTTTGATATGAGGTGCGAAGCTCATTTTTGAGTCGAGTTCGACACCGAGGTATTTAGACCTCTTAGCCCACGGAATGGGCGTGTCGAACATCTTAATTGGTTCCGGAGGCGACAACTGATTATTTGTCGTGAAGAGGACGGCGGCGCTTTTGTCAGGATTTACCTCTATGCGCCATTTGCGGAACCACTGGCCCAGCTCGTCGGCCGCCCGCTGTAGTCTTTTGACCACGGGGGCGACCGACGGGCTGTCCGTGTATAACGCTGTGTCGTCAGCGTAGAGGGCTATGTGCACTCGGGGCTGGCGAGGGATGTCGTTGGTATACAACGCGAAGAGAGTGGGAGAGAGGACGGTCGGCTCCAGTCTGTTACCGTTCTGAGTTTAGGCGCTCCGTCGGCTGGTGGACCTAGGGTGAGAGTGACGGGGCGGTGGTCGGAGGTTAATTCGGCATGGACCTCTATGGAACTCAGCCTGAGGGCTACGTTCTTTAGTAGGGCCAGGTCGAGAACGCATGGCTGGTGCGCTGGGTTTGTTGGGTAGTGCGTAGGATGCACGGGCGGAAGGATGTCGTAACCCAGGGAGACCGATAGGCTTTCCAGGGTTAGACCGTTTCGGTTTGGGTGGACACAGCCCCAGTTGCTGTGTTTGCTGTTTAAGTCCCCCGCTATGATCACCGAGTCCCCCAGGGCCAGAAGGGCTTGGAGGTCGGCGCGGAGAATCTTTTTGGCGGGAGGAAGGTATGCCGATACTAAGTATATCGGTCTATGATCGGTCATCGCTAGGAGACACACCGAGACTTCGATGTTTTCGAGCGGGGGCGTGTCGATCGGGATGCATTGCAGAGACCTCCTGTAATAGATTAACGTACCGCCGCCTCGGCTGACGCGGTCGTCTCTTTTGACTAGATAGTTCGCGATCCTAGGATCGCGCATCGAAGGTTTCAGGAAGGTCTCCTGTACGAGGAGAACGTCCACCTGATGGTCGGTGAGGAATACGCCGATTTCGTCTTTCTGGCTGTGAAGTCCGTTGGCGTTGAAGAACGCCAACTTAACGGACCGAGGTTTGCACCTTAGACCTTTGCGACCCATAACTTAAATGGTGAAATTTGACACCGCGACTAACACGCTGATATGCTCGCAGACGGCTGCGAGCCTGTCCTGTGGGGTTTTCGCGAGCCTCAGCTTGGAGGCCAGGGCGGAGATCTCGCCTGCGTCAATGGCGCAGGCGAGCTTCGCCACCAGTGCGAAGTCGGCGGCGAATCCAGTGCCGCTGACCGCGCTGAGCTGCGGGGTGGGGACGGGGGGGCCGCTGCTTTGGCCGGCGTCGGGGCTGCAGTAGGCGCAGGGGGCGGGGGGGTCGCCTTGACGACCGGAGGCCGCACCCATGCGTTCTTGGGCGGTGGGGGCGCAGTTGTAGGCTGCGGGGCGGGTGGGGGCGCGGGGCGCGCGGCTCGAGGGGCCGGGGCTTTCGCGACCTTCGAGGGGGCGGCCTTGTTGTGGCCGGGACGTGGGGCGCGGGGGCAGCCGCGGTAGTTGGCCGTGTGGCCCTGCTGGCCGCAGAGCACACAGCTCGGAGGGGTCTGAGTGTTTGCGACGCGGTCGCATTGTTTTGTGCCATGGTCTCCCAGGCACTTCACGCAGCGCTCGCGTGCGAAACAGTTACGGGCAGAATGCCCGTAGAATTGACAGCGGTGACAATGTCCGGGGTAGGTCCGCTTGTTGGGCGGCTCAACAGAAAGGCCTGATATCAGGCAGACTGTTTTAATGTTAAATATTGCCTTTCCCTCGGGGGAAAGGTCCAGGACTACAAGCACCATGTCCAGTGGTGCTTTTGTTCTGCCTCGGTACATTCTGTGCACTTCGTGCACAGGATACTGTTGCGAGCGTAGATCTGCCAGGACCTCCTGGCAGTCTATTTCGCGGGGGACTCCCCGTATGACTACGCGGAGTCTCTTTTCTTCTTCGAGGGCGTAGGTGTGGTAGCCCACACTGTTTGCCCTAAGGAAGGCGGTCAGGTGCCTATGGTCCTCCGGAGTGGGGACCGTTACTTTGATACCCACGGAGGTTACCCTCGCGTGGGTGAAGGAAATGCGCTTTTCTTTAAGCGCGGCAGATACTTTGTTCCAGGACGACTTGTCCTGGATTACAATTGGCGGGGGTTTTCTGCACCCCGCATGATCGCGGGTTTTAATACCCGCGGTGGACGGGACGGCCGCTCCTTCTGTGGAGCGTTGGGTTTTGGCCGGCGGAATGTTTTTGTTTTTCTTAGCGCGCTTAGCGCGCTTGGCCCCAACTACAATGAAGTCCTCGTCGGAGGAGGACTGGTCGGTCGCGGACGCGGCGTCAGAGTCGGCCGATGGAGTGTCGCACTCCATGTCGGCCGGAGAGGGTGGACGGCTAGAGCCGTCGGAGTTGGAGGACGATGCCCCCGGTGAGGCCGGAGACACGTCCCCTGGGGACGATGGGACGGAGGACTCCCCGGCGTCCTCTCGGTTAGAGGACGCCGGCGAGGCGGGAGAGTTTTCGTGCACCACCGGGGTGCCGATTTCCTTACGGAAGGCATCGAAGATGCCCTTCCCAAATTTCTCTTCTAAAAATGCGAAAAATCGCGGGAGGTCGCCCTGGGAAACCTCCGAGGTTCCCATGGTTACCCTCCTGTACGGACAACCCTACTAGTTTGGTTAGTAATAATTTATATTTTATACACACCCGACCGGGGTCGGGTGCAATATTAAAATCTGGCTATTAATTTATTATCTATCTTATCAATAAGACTGCAAATACGATAAAATGTAACTAAGAATAAAAGAAGCCGATAACCGTTTCTAACGGTCGATGTATAACCGACCGTTATCTTATCTTATCTAATCTAGCTAACGGTCGCCGCCGGGCCCGCCCGGCGGCTTGTGTAACAGTTTCCCCTTCCCCTAGGGGAGGGGGGTGTGTACTACTATTCGTAAACCGCTAAAGCGGTAATGAGTGCCTACTCACCGATACACCTGCAGCTGTGAGTGGTGATCGCGTGGGGACACTGTTGGTCACTGTCACAGTCACTACACAGTCACTTCGTGCACTTGCCCAACAATACCGGAAAAATATTTGAGATAACTCACTGGAGAATTGGATTTACTGATGACGCGACGCGGCGCGAATCGTGTGCGTGGTGGGACGTGAGATGCGATGGGACGCAATCGAATGAATGATGATGGGTGCCGCACAACGGTAGGCGGCCTATATTTATACCCCGCCCGGTCGCACGGTAACAAGTACTAACCCACACCGGTGAGTCTGTGCGAGCGGGACGGGGCGAGTTTGAGACGGACGCGCGACTCTTCTGAGCGGCACCATTTGGCGTTATTATTCATTTATTTATGTTATAAACATTCTTATTTTCTATTATTATACAATTTATCCTTATTTCTACTGTGGGTAATTAAGGACTCGACATAATGAATGCTTTATTTCCCTTACAAACTAAAACATACATTCTATAGACAACTATAAAGATAACAATTTAAATGATTAAAAACTAACAACTTATGTTAACAATCAGTATATAAAAATGACTATAAAATATCGCTATAAAACTATATTATTATATATAAAACTATAGTTACATAAACAAATTACAGGGTGGCCCATAAGTCCTTAGTAATGAAAAAAATTTATTAAAATAAAACTAATTACACTATGAATAATATTTTTATTTGTAAATATAGCTAGAAAAACAGGAATTATTTTTTGTAAATAACGTCGTCCAAATGTAATCCGTTACAGTCACGGCACTCTTGCAAACGCCTTCTGAAATTGTCGATGACTGCGCGGCACGTCACTGCTGAAATGCTTGCCATTTCTCTGCGGATGTTTTCTTTTAGGTCATTAATTGACCGCGGGTTAGAGTCGTACACTTTAGCCTTAAGGTAGCCCCACAAAAAAAATCCATTGGAGTCAGATCCGGGCTACGTGGTGGCTAGGAAATGTCTCTTCTCTTAAAGATAACTTTGTTTGGAAAAAGTTGACGGATAACGGGCATAGCAGTATTGGAGGTGTGGGAAGTTGCTCCATCCTGTTGAAACCATGTTCGGGCATTAAAGCCTGAAAAGTTTTGCAATTTTTGTGTGAAAAACTCCTCGATCATGGCCACATATCGCTCCGAAGTAA